TTTTTGGAATGAAGCTAGAACTGTCAGCTGTCAAATGACATAGCAATAACATAGATGCGAATGACTCTAGTGCTTCCAAAAATGAACTAGTGCCATCTATTGCAAACATGCATCATGACTTTTCCGACAACCCAATAAACTCTTTGCTCCTTTGGGGTAGACATGTTTTTAAAAGACCCATCAGTTTTACAGCCTAGGAGTGTCTTTCTCAAGGACCTGGGAGCCATCGCTTCTGAAATGTGATTATCAAGGAAGACAGTGCCCTATCTCTCAGCCTCTGAAGGAGAGTAGGAGCCTAACTTCAGATGAGCAACAGTTAGCAAACACAGATGGCCTAATCACAGAGAAACACAGTGCAAACTCAGGAATTAACAATCTGCTAAACATATCTCATTGATCAACCTCCCCTGAACATCCTCCAGTACTATTATACTAGCACATCCCAGCCCTTAAAAATTCTCCTGCCTTTGTTTCAGGAAATTGAGTTCAGTCTGAGTTCTGCCTCTCTCTCCTATTATAATAGTCTTGAGTCGTCTTCTTTGCCTGTTTAACTTTGTCTGGTGCAATTTCCACTTTGACAAGCCTCACTATCCAACTTTCAAATCTAATACTACATAATACATGAAAATATGAAAAGCTGTGGGAAATTAAAATCATTGGGTTTTAAATTAAATATTGTTGAAATGGGCCATCATAAATTCAATTCTTCAAAAAAAATTCTAATCCCTTTCATTTTCTTTTTGTTGTTGTTGTGCAAAGAGGTTTTATTTTTTTTATTTTTTTTTTAAATTGGGGAATTCGGGGAGGGGAACAGCATTGGGGAATTGGGGAAGGGGGCCAGCCAAATTGTTGTTCTTCAATCTTAGTTGTGGAGGGCACCCGTTGCCATTTGGCTGCCCGTCAGCAGCTCGTGGCCTCTAAGTTCAAGGTGCTGTGTTCAATCTTAGTTGTGGGTGGGCATAGCCACCATCCCATGCGGGAGCTGAACCAGCAACCTTGTTGTTAAGAGCGTACGCTCTATCCACTGAGCCATCCGGGCAGCAGCTCAGCTCAAGGTGCCGAGTTCAGTCTTAGTTGCAGGTGGGCATAGCCCACCATTAAACAGGCAGTCTTGTTAGAAGCACGTGCTCTCACCAGCTGAGCCATCCTGCTGTTGGCAACTCAGTGGCAGCTCAGCTCGGGTGCAATGTCACTGGCCCATGTGGGAATCAAACCGGCAGCCCTGTTGCTCAGGGCTAACTCAACCAACTGAGCCACTCGGCTGGCCCTCATTTTCTCTTAGACACCATCAATTTGTACAATGTTCTAAATGTCTTTAAATCTGTTATTGACCTTCTGTTTTATTAAATTATTAAAATAATTTTTATATATTCAAAATAGCCATATAAAAGATATTTAAAAATAAGATATAAGCAAATTAATCTACAGCTAGTCTATCACTAAATCCTAGTTTTATTCTCAAATATTTCTTTAACTGACCATTCTTCACCCACATTCTTGTTGGCTTAATAAAAGCCTCCATCACCTCCCTCCTGAGTTATGGACTGCTTGCTCTTCCTATGGTGTCCCTTACTACACTCTTCATAGCCCATCCTCCACACTGCTACACAAACCTGATTAAATCACCATCACCACCCACTGCTCACCTAAATGGCCTAGAGCCTACAAGATAATGCCCAACTCTTAATCCCAGCTTACAGGTTCTTTCTTCTTATACCTATACACCTTCTTATATTAAACTACTTGCTGAAAGCTGAAGATGCTTCACACCTACATGATTTTGCTCATGCAGCTTACCCTTTGATCACCTGGTAAACACTGTGCTCAAAGGTCATCTTCACAATAACCCTCCTTTACAACCTTACCCGCATGCCCAGAGTCTGTTGCTAAAACCTCTAAAACCTCTAAAAAATGCTACTATAGCACTTGGTTCAAACCTCTCAGTAATTATGTCACTATATTGTATTGGTATCCATCTATCTTAATTTTTAAATTTCAAACTCCTAACAGAATGCCAGCGTATAGGAGATACTCAGTAAACATTTATGGAAAAACTGCTATTTTTCTGACTTCTTACCTCCCTACGTAAGAGGTAACAAACTATAACATCTTACTTAGGCAAAAATCAAATTTAGCATTCAAAATGAATGCTAAATATGAAAATCTCAATAGTTACAATATTTAGAACATAATAAAATTATAAACATTAAGAACTTTATTCATATAGTTATCTCATGTTTAATTTTTGAAAACTAGTAATATTTTTCACTTGCTGCCCCCTGCTGGAATTTTATGGAAAAATATGATTAAAAGTTGTCACACAAAACTTAAAAACAGAGTGTGTATTTCTATTTAGACCACATGTGTTAAAGTACCACCACTGGACCTGAGTTACTCAAGTCCTTTATTGAACCATATTCTATCTTTAGAACAAACTGCTTTGTAATTTCTGATCCTTCCTAATTCTTAAATAGCTCAACTGAAATAGTTATGGAGCACAGCAAGTGGTGTCCAATGGAAGAGTATCTCTTGGTAAAGGAGAGGGGCACTTTTTGGACAGAAAAAGACAGATGGGATGCCACTTCAGAGTGCATGACACTGCGCATAGTTAGGAGAAAAATTTAACTGATGAATATGCTTAACCTGATGGAAGCCAAGCGTGGGGAGATTTTCGAGGAAGAAGTGTTCAATCCCACCAACTTACTGAGGTCAAGTAAGAGCTTAAAAATGCCAGAATAATAACTATTGCACTGTGCTGTATAGCTGAAACTAATTCTAAAAAATGTGTATTTTACAATAAAAAATAATTTTTAAAAAAATGCCAGAATAAATACAACTACTAACTACATCACTGGTGAACAAATCTGCAATATACTTATCTTATTCTACTTAAAGGGGAAACATAAACTGGTAAATAAGCACAAGAAAGAATTACAGAAAGAAGTTTGTTGGGGGCACAAAAAAAGGAGTGGCCAGTAAGGTTAGGGACAGGTATCATAAAACATTTAATTGAGTAAATAAATAATACTGATATGAGGAGGAGGATGGAAACACTAAATAGGGGCATCCTCTATTGGTATGTCCAGTTCTTGGTTATTTCAGGAGTGAAGTATAAACCTGGGGACTCAAGAATACCACTCTTCCTCTAGGAAAAAACAAACAGAATCAAACCATTTTTTAATTAAATATTTTTTTAAGTGGTGAAAAAAGTTTATTAGAAGAGACAGTACACTCCAAAGAATTAGAAGTGGGCCAAGCACAAAGAAAAGCGACTCAAGGCCATTATTAGGAGAAAAAGTACACTCCAGAGTTTGGAGGGGACCCCCGAGCAAAAGCAAAGCTCAAGAGGCTCAAGGCGTCAAGGTCAAGGCTCAAGGTGTTCAATGGCTAAAAGCACTCAAGGAGCTAATGCTCAAGGCTGCATTATTAGAAGAAAAAGTACACTCCAAAGGGTTTGGAGTGGGCCCTGAGCAAAGACAAGGCTCCAAATGCTCAAAGGGCCTTAATTAAATATTTTGGGGAAAAAAAGAAACCTGGCCTAGATCCCAGAAATATGAAAGGGGTACTCTCACTGTACCAAATAGGTGGCCACTTAGAACACACAAGACAATCCTTACCAATTCAAGGATTACTGTAAAACTGATATTCCAAAACATTATTTGTTTTACTAAATTAATATCTCATTAAAAGTAATCCAAATTAGTCATATCTTCTCTGGACTATACAGCATTAGCCTCCTAACTGGTGTCTTACATCTATGTTCTTGCTCCCTTCCAATCACTCTCCACACAGAAACAGAATGGAGTTTTCAAAATGAAAATCTTATAATGGCATCACACCACTTAAAACCCTTCTCTGCTTCCCATGGGAATCAGGATAAAGACAAAAATCTTTAATGTGGCCTACGGGACTCTGCATGACTTCACTGCAGACCTCGCCAGGTCATTTTCTCACCATGCACCCTTCTCTCCTCCCCTCTTTCCACTTCACACCATTTCTGTATCTTTAAATGTGCCAAGCTCCTTGACATAGAGCCTTTGCACACGCTGTGGTCTTTCACTAGAGTTATCTTCACCTAAGTAACTCAGTTTTTAAGTCAAACAAGCCACCTCTTACCTCCTAAACTAGATCAGGTCTTATTTTAAACCCAATTAGTACGACACATTAATATCCTTCTTTTGTAGAATTTATCACAGCTGCAGCTTTACATTCATTTTTACAACATTATAAGTAATATCTCCTACCGGTAAAGTCTAAATGTCATGAAAACAGGGGTCATTTCTGTTTTTGCTAACTATGTGTATCCAGGAACTAGTTCAGTGTATACCATGTAGTATTTGTTGAATGAATGGAACAGTGAAAAATATAGTATATCAATAGACTCTAAGTCTTATGGCCTAATACAAGAAAAGTACCATTAAAAGTAGTTTAATAAACAATTACGTTTACAATTCTGCTGTTACCAGTTTCATTCAACATTGTGAAAATATCAAGACAAGAGCAGTATCTCTGGATTTACTTTCACAAGCTGGCTAAGTGTTTTTACAGCTACTAGTTCTATATACTACTACATGTTTGTATCTTAGCAGAAGTCATATAAGTGTATATGTAAAATTATATTATTTAACCAATCTTCCAAGAACTCTTCAAGTGCATCTTTTTTGTTAATGGAAAGGCAGCTTAACAAAAAATTTGGGAAATGCCCTTACATATCACAGTACCAACAAAAGCCCACAATAGAACCAGTAATAGAATTTTTTTAATCATCTGTCACTTACATATATATTTCCTCAAGGCTATTCGATAAATCCGCACGTTCTTGTCCTGTAAGCCAAGGAGCACTAAGATTAAATAAAACACAATAAAGATTATTTGAGGATTCTGTTTATATCTCAAAGAGAAATTAGTGATTAAATCACAAGCTGGTTTTATTTAACTTTTCAAAAGCATCTATTTTCATTAAAACGTTATCTTATATAAATCTATATAGTTCCAAAATGCTTTCATTGGCATTAACTCATTTTGCTCTCCCAGGAAAGCATCATGAAGCCAACACCAATATTATTCAATTAAAATATGGTTTAAAAAACAGGGGTGAGTTCATAGGATAGAATAAAACTGCCCAAGTTTATGTAAGTGGCAGAACAGGTTCCAGAATCTAAATTTCCTGATTCACAGTATTTGCCATACTCTCAGGAAGTACCGATTTTTTCTAACTGGTATCTCAAAAACAATTCTAAATTAGTTGCTGCATAATTGTAAAAAAAAATATTAACTTTTTCTGAGAAGTGCATTTATGTTTACAAGCATTTTACAATTACATCTATAACTTTCAATAAATAAAAATTTAATAATTACAGAACCGTTATTAATGGGAAATGGTTTTAAAACATACTAAAAATCCCACTGGTAAGTAAAAATTGTAGTAATTGAGATTCAATGCAATTCTGTTCGTGCAGGTTTATGCATCTTAGTTGGTCAAGCGGGCAAGGCTGACCAAAGGTTACTTGCAATCAACAGGTCATGACTCATTAAGATTAAACTTAGGCTGCTGAGGAAATAGTTCCTCAACAATAAGTGGGAGGAAGAAACACCAGAAGCACCATGGGTAAAATTATTGGAAGGCAGAGGGTCTTAGGCAGAGGCGTGTCAAGGAACTGTGGTTAGACCTGTGGCAGAATCAGGTTAGGAGAAGCTCTACAGGTCAGGGTTTCTAGGTTACTGGATTGTCTAAAGAGGAAGATTCCCTTCTTCACTTCTAAAGACAATTCTGTAGCGATTTTACCCTATAAACCTGTGATTCTCTTTTATACTAAGTGGCATACTTCAATGTGATTTTATAAAATTTAATTTTTTATTTAAATTCTCTACAACAAGTCCAAAGGCATTTTTAACTTCTATATATAGAAGAATATAAAGAAACGATTTTTGAAAAGTATGATCTTTTTATAAAAACATAAATGTAGACTAGAGCTTACTTCAGTTGATAGATAGGTGGAGCTGTACCTGGGTATTCATTTGGTAGCATCACCTACAAAGCAGTTTAAAAACAAATCTGTTTACAGTTCACAGCTCAAAAATAACAATATTTACAAAGCTAGTCACTGGACAAATTTCTAACTTGCAAAACTAAAAACCATTGCTTTGTTAAATCTTCCCTCCTCATATTTATGCTCCTACCTTAAATGTGTTGCTAACGATGATGCCGATTTTTTAAGAAGGAGCTCATTATTTGCAGAGAAAGTATAAAAGCAATGAAAGTTAAAAAAAAAGGGTGGGAGGACAAAGATGAAACCCTAAATGAATAGAGTGGCAATGTAACATGTTTCAGGGATTTTTCTGATGCAATACTCAAAAAAATCCTATTAAGTCTGTTAAATACACTATCAGCTAACACTTCAGTAGAGAACCATACAGATTTCTTTTCAAAACGGTATTATTAAAGACAAATACTAATAAAAACTCAATTTGTCATCTTTTATGTTGAAAGTATAGGCAGTCATCAAAGAATAAGCATTAAAACAGAAAGCCAACTGATTTTCTCATTGTTTATCTTAACCACAACTAATTTCCAATTAATAATGAAATGAGTATCTATTCTATGAATCATCTAAATTACTAATCTATTCCTCCTCTTAAATGTTAGCTATCTCCCCAGGTTTAGATCCTCTATTAAAAGAACAGGATAATGAAAGGAAATGAAACTCAACTCTGTCAATGGTACATTAAAAACACTTCAATAATTAAAATAATTAGGATGGGAAAGACTGACACTATCAATTAAAGCGTGACTTGAGAATGATCTGAAATTTAATTACCCATATGTTTAGATAATCTATCATTAATGAAAGCCAACAACAAAAAGACAATTTAGAAAAAGCCACACAAGAATAGTTATTAGAGAAATACAATAGTCAATCATACAGCATCAATGTTGTAAATGGCAAATGGCCACAAAGAACGAAGAGGAAAATACCTGCAAGCAAAGTGTCCATTTGGGGTCATCTATATCGTCGCTAATTCTAATACAAAATATTTTGGCACAGTCATCGATGACACACCATTCCTCGCCATATATAGCTGCCATTGCTTCAATTTCCTCATTCTGAAATAAGTTGACGGGGAAACAAAGTCAACAAATGTGCATACCCTAAAAACCTGAGTTTTCCTTACTCCTTTATAAGGCATTTGCCGTTCACATTTGCTAGCCTGAATGAAGGCTCCCTGAATGAACACTGCCAAACCTTCTTAGCAGCAGGTCACCATGTGCTACTCTGGGCGGTTGCCAGACACTATTGCAATGACTGGAACCAGCCTTGCTACACACGCCGTGCTTTGGGCCACCACTGAGCCAAAATATGTACGCACTTCCATGCATGGTAGTGAGATTCACAAGTGAAAGGATAACTGTATCTTCTCCTTTTTAACAGGTAATCCCCACCTCCATCCCCAGTAGTGTTGCTCCTTACTAGCCCTATATTTCTACTGGATATCTCCTTCTTTGGTTTTTGTTTTGGATTTGGCCAGGAGGCTGGGTGGTTGGTTTGGTTTTTTGGTATTCGAAACAATTCGGAAGTTATTCTTTTGGTTTGGGGTTAAAAAAAACAATCGGACCTAAAGGTGAAATAGGAAGCAAAGCATGCATTTAACTTTCGTCTTCTCATTTTGTCCTCATAACCCAGTAGGAAACCTTTAAGAGCGCCACGTGAGCCACACACAGGGGAAAGCTCAATACCAAGAGGAGTAAGAATCAGTGGGCCCTCGAAGAACTCCAGGATCTTTGTTATTATTGCCCATTTTGCAAAGGCAGAAACCGGGGCTTTTAAGTGACTTGTCCAAGGTGACCCGGCGGAGACGGGGCGAGGAGCACAACCCGGGTTTCTGCCTCCGGCCCGGAGCTGCTCAGTCACGTGCTGATGGTTTGACGATGACACCGTCCGAGGCAGGCCCGGCCCGCCGACGCCCGCGAGAGGCCGGCATGAGCGTGCGCGGCCGAGAAAAAGAACCGAGAAAATGGAACGCGGTGGAGTAAACGTCACGGCTAGCAGCCCGGGCGGTGCAGGCGGTGCAGGCGGCACCGGGGCGCCCCCGCGTGGAAGGCCCCTCGGCGGAGGAGGCCCGGGACAGCGAGGCGAGGCCGAGCCGAGCCTGGAGGTCGGCACCCCGCCGGGGCCTCACCTGCCTCTGGTCGCTCCCTGCGTCCCCCTCAGCCATGTGGCCCTGGGAGCGGCCGGGCGGCCACTGCCTGCTCAAGTCCGGAGCGCGGGGGCGGGGCGCTGCGGCGGCGAACGAAGCGCAGGCTGCGGCGCTGCCCGACCCGGAACCGCAACCCCGGCTGCGCCGCGCCGCCCGCATCTGCTTCCGGGTCGCGCGGGCCAGGTGGCGTGAGGGCTTCGCGGGGCTCCCTGCTCTGGCCCTGCGCCAGCCATACTCCACCCCTTTGGCGTGTCTGGAGGAAGCTGCACTGCCCGAGAGGCGGCCGGAGACCTTCTCTGCTCACTCCCCTGGCGAGCCGCTGGGGCTGGGGGCTTCTGCTCGCCCATCGTGGCCTCGGTACCATCGGAACCCCCAGGAGACGCTTGAGGAGTGGGGTTCACCGCCACTTCCCAGGAAGAGGTTCGGCCGCAGTCCACAGCCCCAGACTCGTCTTGACACTTCAGGGCAAGGATTTTTCTTTTATGTATTTTAAGAAAGTTTCCCTGACTTGAGCAAGGAATGGGTTTTTTTTCCCCAAAAGCAGGAGAGCAGGAGAAGGCAAGCGGCGATTTTGAAAGCGTGCGGAAAAACTTACCCACTGTTGTATTGTGACAGTTGTTAGTGTTCTTGGACATTTTGTCTGGGAGCAAGCACCATTGCTTCATTATCCAACAAATTTGTTTTAAAGTGTGTCACTTGTCCCCCGCGCCCGACGCATACATTCCAGTAATTGGTGGTGAATTGTATCGGTCACTTGATGGGAGACGCCTTAATCAAGCCACTTTAGTCTTTTACTCCAAAGGCATTCTATCCCCTCGTCTCACTTTCTTCACACATACACATACAAACAAAAACTCAAAATGTTACTACATCTTTCCTCCTATCTTCCTTAATCATGGATATGTTTTAATCTCTCTTTGAAAACCATCCTGAGTCAAGGGTGCGCTACCTAAGGCCCTGTAAAGAATTCCACCTGACTTACTTTGAGGGGATCCAGTGTCAGCCTTGTGGGTTTATGAATTCAACACACTTGTTAGGCTCTTAACTGTGCTAAGCTTTGGAGATGCAGAATCAGATACCATGCCTTGCCTTTAAGGAGCTAAGATGTGGGGAAACAAGTACATCAACATTCAAATGCGCTGGAATTATGTCCAAGTGTTGTGTTAGTGGCACAAAGAAGGGCCATCCATTCAAATTTTATTGAGCGTCTTGTTCCAGAGAAGGTTTGAAGTGAGTTACAGAAGAACAGGTAGAGAGGTTAGCTAACTGAAGAAGGGGAGGGATGTTGTGCCAGATGGGGAGAAAAGTGTTGGCAGAGAAATGGTGGCCGGTTTAAGGAACTTCACGAAGCTCATTGCCTCTGACATCCCAGCTGTCAACTTCCTCTTGTCATATGGCTTGCATAACCCCTTTATGATTGTCTCCATAAATCTGCACATGTACATTCATTTTGGTTCCAGGAGAGGGCTTGGAGGGATTTAACCCTCTGTGATGTCTACCACATCTCCCTCCAGTTAATTGGTTTGGACAGTTTTTGGGGGGCTTTTTTCCTCTTGAGCAAAAACAGTTTCAAGCCCTAACTAAGCTTCCAATCAACTTGGGCACTGGGGTCCATGGTACAACTATTCCGTCATGGTATTTCTCTTCTAGGTGAGGAATTTGCCTTCAAGTGCTGAGGGTTTGGGTCGCAGTGCATCTCCAGGTTGCCTGAAACCTTGTTCAGTTACCATGCTAAAACTATCTACCGTGTTTCCCAGAAAATAAGACTGGGTCTTATATTAATTTATGCTCCAAAAGATGCATTTTATTCATTTATTCATGTACAAAACTCTACATTTATTCAAATACAGTCATGTCTGGCTGACCGACCATCTTAACGGGCTTATTTTGGGGTAGGGCTTATATTACAAGCACCCTGAAAATCTTGCTAGGGTTTATTTTCCAGTTAGGTCTTATTTTTGGGAAACACGATAGATGTCCATCTATTATTCAATAGTTTCCTTCACTCTGACCTGTCACAGATTTCTTTATGTCTTTACAGCTTCTATTGCATAAAATAGTGGTTTTCACATTTTCAAAAAAAGACATAGAACCTTCTTCACTGAAAGCTTATGTGAAACAGATTTGGCTGTTCTGACTAAAATAATGGTGATGAACCTGAAATCCCGACTACTCAGTAGCCCTTCCTTGTACTGGCCTCTCAAGGACTTTAAACACAAATTTGAAAACTACCACATTAAAATGTAGCAGAAAACAATGCAAAGCAAAACTTAACCTTCTAAACAAAGCACAACATATCCAGTTTATTACACACAGCACCTCTTTTCTTACCACATGTACCACATGTCAAGTTTAAAGAACAAAATTCAACCAAGTCAATTTGAAGATCTAATTGGCTTTATTAAGAGATTCAGGAGTCCAGCAGCATCCCATCTAGCAACTGGAAGTGCGCTCCAAGGGGCTGTACAAACTGGAAGGTTTTTACGGGCAGAAAAAGGTGGGACTTAGAAGTTAAAAGTGGGTTATTTCAGGCAGGGATACCTTCCCTTAAGGGAAGGCAGGGGGTTCTCATCAGGCAGATAGATACCTCACTGGTGTTGATCAGGAAATTCTACACTAATTGATTTAAAATTCCACTTGTGGGAGAGGCTGAAACTGCAATTAGGTTATTAAGTTTTGGTTTGGTGTATTACTTAGCAAAAGTGACACCATTTTGGGCCTGTTGTTTTTTTTAAACCATAGCAACCAAGACTATCTTCTGCAGATTATACCCATGATTTTCTTAATTCCTATTTCCTCTAGCTCGAGTCTTTAATCTTTTGAACTCAGATTCTAAACCAGTGGGTCTCAATCTTCCTAATGCCGCGATCCCTTAATACAATTCCTCATGTTGTGGTGACCCCCAACCATAAAATTATTTTCGTTGCTACTCTATAACTGTAATTTTGCTACT